GATTATGAAGGACAAATTCGAAAAGTTGGAACCGAAGAGTGTCGTTGAGTGGTCTTATCTCATCAGTCAAATATGGGTGGACCTACCCCAGGACGACATAGACAATTTGATTGACAGCATGGGACGCCGTATTCAGCAGTGCATCGAGAGAAACGGTGGACTAACAGACTATTGACTTGCATAAATGTAAACTTCAGTATCCAGAGTGGATGTATGAAAAATGTAACTGAATTTATCAGTAAATCTGTGAAAAGTCGCATTTTTTCTGCTCATTACTGTAGTTACAACTGTCGTGGGAATTTAAATGGACATTTAAATGCTTATATGTACCCCAAGGAGGACTTCTTCTGAAAAAGAATTGAATGGACATCTATTTATGTTGCTTGAACAAAACCCAAAACAATGGTATGGCTTCGAATCATCCCAGGCACAGGATATATCATAACAGTACTGAGATATGACACACAGGATAATCAGGGATGACTCCACCAGAGATGATAGCACTGAGATTGCAATTGGAACTAACCTGTTAACTAATACTTCAACGCCTTCAGTTGATTTACTTTTTATGCTACCCTTTGGCTGTTTTTTTATCAGACCTTCGTGTGGTGACCTACAATTTTTTATGTTTGTATGGGGGTCTGTCTGCTCACAACAAAAACAAACTTTTCAAAATTGTTAATACAGCCAGCAAAATTACTGGAGTGTCTTTCAAGCATATTCCCTTCATTTATGAGCGCCAGATTGTCAAAAAGGCAACTAAAATTAGAACTGATAGTTCACATATTTTATCTCATCATTTTCAACTACTTCCATCTTGACGCCGCTTTCATTTACCTTCGCTTAAAACAAACAGAGTTCGACAGTCCTTCACACCATCCAGTATTCGTGTTATAATGCAACAAATGTTTTTGAATAGTCATCATGTATGCGATAACTACTAACTCTTTACCTATGTGGTAAATAGACCGATCCAGTCCCGGCCGATAAGCCCCGCCCACTTCGTTTTTGACGTTAGGGGGGACAACCACTGACTAATCACAATGGCGTCACCGCCGGCGAAGCGTACGTGACTGCGAACGTTGTTGATGAATTCTCTTGCGGTATCCGTCGTTTGTGAATAATATTTAAAAAGGAAATTTATACTTATTTTATTTTTAATAGATTTTAGTTGACAGATTGCAATTGGCGAGTGAAAATGAGTTACATTCCCGATGAAAAATCGCCTTGGCCAGCTGCTGCCCCGAGGCGTATTTTCTTTCGAACCAAATACTCTATCTGGCAATTCACGTCCGTCTAAATATAAGATATTAGCAGGGGAGGGGTAACTGATCTTATGTTATTTGTTTGTTTTTCTCAAACATTCCCATCGTTATTTTAGAAAATCCCTGAACACAGCGCCACATGTTCAAGTTTCAGATTGTTTCGGTATCTATAAATAGATTGTCAACAGTGCGCGTGTATTCATTTATCCGTTGTTCAAATTTAGTTACATCAATAATGTGAAAACATGGGTTTCTACCTTTTAATGAACAAAGCAGAAAAATATTTCCCGTCTACTACTTCGTGCACCGTATTTGTCTGTATATATTAATGTAAACAAATCAATCACAGCATAACCTATATTTGATCTTTTGGGGAATCTGGAAAAGGTGACTGGGCTTGTAAACATTATGTTTCCATGGATGTATCTGACGTACCAAGACGCAAATATTTAGCAGCTAATCTGCAGCAATTCTCAGTAATATTTCCCGCTTCAAAATCTGTACACCATCCTGAAATGACACTGAATATAAGGAAATCCTTTGCAATGTTTTTTCTATGTGTACTTTGTTGTAGAAACTTAATTTACAAACTTCCATAATACTGGACTCCATTAACTGCCAGCATTTATGTACAGGTATGTCACAGCACATGAACACAAAGAAGATCCAGGATACAGTCTGCACCTGTGCACTGACCCATCTTCCAGAAATAGGAAACCTGTGATGCAAAATATTTGAACAGAGGACCCACAGTTATCCAAACAATTAACTAGGATTGAAATAGAATGTTACACAAAATACAAATATACTGCCTTTTCTTCAGAGATATTTAACTGCTAATGTAAATAAGGCACAAAGAATATATCCTATGTTCAAAGCTTTTTGTCAATAAAATTACATATTGACATTATTGTTTCTTAAACAATGATAATATTTGTTTTATAATATCTGAGACCATATCCCTAAGGGACATAACACTGATTTTGATCTATTTCCTTTTCTGGGATACTTAAGAGTGTCAAAAAAATATATTAAAGTTGTTTCAAAATTTGATAAAAGTCATAAGAAATGTTTAGGAAAACCGACATGAAAATGTCCTGAAGCTTTCACCTCCTTCAAACCAGTGTGCAATTTAATATGAAGCTCATTTTCCAAATAACCATCAACAAACCTTGAACAATTTGTCCAAAATCAACATCTTAATAAACACTACTTTGGCTCAGTCTTCAAATATTGGTAACCTCCTCAAAATCTGATGATTTCTAAGATGTATTACATCAAATCTGGGTTAAATATATGTTTCAATATTCATTCCACTTACATGAATAGTCAACTGAGAATTTTGTAACTTATTTTGTTTCAAGACTGAATAATGACTGATCAGGGTGTGACACAAAAACGTAGCCTTTTTTTCAAATTTTCTGGATGTTGAAATAACTTTATTACGAGTTATGATACTAGTAATCACTTTCAGAATAATTTTATTAGTAAATATATTATTTAAAAAAACAAAGATATCTTAAAGCAAGAGTCAACAAGTTAGTTAGTACCAAGTGATTGTTCTGCCATGATATGTATATACTGTTTAATTTGTTTGCCTAGTTCTGCCTTAAAATCACATGAATCTGATATGTCAGTCAATTAAGTAATTATTTATAATTGATTAGATTATTATTTATTTTATTACCTTTCCACGTTTACTATAGGACGCAAGATTCTTAAAACATACCTTGCTATCATGTCCAGTGAATTAATTAAATTGACAGTTCTGTTATTACTCCTAAAATGTACCAATATACCTCCCCTACATGTAAAAAAAATTATGTTGTAACAAAAATTCAAAACAAAGAATGTTCTCATGGCTAAGAAATATACTTTTATTTCACTCCGTTTAATATTCCAGAAAGTCACTATTCTTCTCATATAGTTTTCGTCTCCGATCCACACGGAGTAAGGTATAATTCAATTCAAGGTCCCATCTCTTTAAAGAAATTCTAAAATATTTAAGGCATGGTTTTATAGACACTCATTTGAAATAATTTTGATATTTTGATAGGCAACTGCTGACACTATATTTCCGTTTGAATAAAAAAATATTACTCCTGAAATATTTTACACTATTAACATATACTGTCAGTAGGCCTTCAAATTGTGCTTGTGAAACTATAAAACATCCAAAAATGTGTGACAAATTTAAGAATATCTAAGAGCGAAGGCAACAATATCCACCACATTGTCCTTTAATGTAACAAGTTTTGCTATTTTCGACCCTCGAAATCAGCGCTGTCAGATTTGTTTCATTTCAGCTTTTCGCCTGTCTCATTTCAGCTTTATGGTGTACCAACTCAATGCCCAGTATTGACTAAAAACGTTAAGCAAAAACATTTTTGTAGTTACAAAAATTGTCCGTGTTTATAACACTTGCAAAGACTTAAACTGCTATTTGTTGTCATCCATTGGTAATGATTTTGCACGTGTGCGAAAGTGTGGAAATTCGTGCAAATTCTCACCTTCGAGCCGACGTAGGTTTCGTGAACGATATATGCCGACATTTAACTGATCTTGAGACCTATCGCACTACTTGATCCGCCTCAAATCTTTTGTCTTGATCGTAATGGTTGTGTTAAAGGTACACATGAAATCGCAGCAATATGTAATAGATATAGCAAGTGTGAATGGCATAATTCGAAGCACATCGCTTTGGAGGCATCGTTTGACCCCGGAAATAAGTCTGACAAATCCACAAAGTGCGCCCGGCCTGCTGATTGGCCAAACTTGACGCATGCGTCAGTTTTGATTGACAGACTGGATCGGTCTATTGTATGGAATCATCAGAATTTATTTTGTGCATGTAATTGTTGTGCATATTTTTGTGAATTTTGTATATATTCATTTTGAGTCCGGTTTTGATACAAAAAGATTTTCCTCCAGGATAATAAAGTTATATCTTATCTTATATGCTGCCATTCACCTGGTCTACTGGATTGAAGTTATTTAACTGTGTGTGAGTGGGCCATCCACTATAAAACTACAAAGAATATTAGAAGGTTGGCACTGTGAAACTGGCAATAGTTAGGACACCTACACTCACAGACAGACAGACAGATATGCACATCCTCCAACACAAATACATTCACAGACAGACAGACATGTACATCGACAGACAGACAGACAGACATGCACACCCTCCCCAAACACCTACATTCACAGACAGACAGACAGACAGACATGCAGTGATGCACACCCTCCCACACACCTACATTCAGACAGACAGACATGCACACAGACAGACAAACATGGACACAGACAGACAGACCCTCCCACACACCTAGACAGACAGACCCTCCCACACACCTACATTCACAGACAGACATGGACACAGACAGACAGACCCTACATTCACAGACAGACATGCACACAGACAGCACACAGACAGACCCTCCCACACACCTACATTCACAGACAGACATGGACACCCACCCACACAACTACATCCACACCCAAACACAAACATACACCACGCCACACACACATGTACATGTATGTTGCTCTGTAATGCAATTATCTTAAAGGAAAATTAAATCCCATATCACCTCACCTGTTACATAATTGTTTGGGTTTTCTTAAAGACTTTTCCGCTTCCACACTTATTTGTGATAAATTCTCACTTGGCTCTCAAGAAGAATTTGGCCCTATCACATTTATGGGACTTTGAAAAATGACACAGATACTCACTTCTCATCTTCATGGGCTGTGTAAGTTTAAGGACGACCTCTCCCTTGACATGCTCCCCAGAAACAAACACACCACGGTCATTGTCAAAGCGGATCTCGAATCTTTCGAGCTTCATTTTTAAAATCTTGGTCTGGAACAAATGAACAAAAGAAAAAATGACTACTCAGACAAAACCAGTCATGAGAGAAAATGAATGTTTTTTCTGCTCTATGGTTCAGTCCATGAGCTTGCCAGAATATTAGTCAACAAAAAGTATTACTTGGCTAATGGATTATTAGCAACACACTTCTCCCCTTGGCTATTTCTTGAACAGTGATTGTTTCTCATGATTTTCATTACTTCAGTGTACAGTGCACTCTCTCTAATTCGGACCGGCTTGGGACCGACTAAAAAGTCTGAATTAGACAGCAGTTCGAGGTACACAGATTTTAATGGAGTTATCTCTCTTTGACGAGCATACGATTGTGCATGAAACACATATTACATGAATACATATAAATCGTGGTGGCGTGTGGTCCTGTGAACAGAGCTCAGGTCACGAATCAGTTGAAGTTAAGCAACGTCAAGCTCGGACAGTCCTTGGATGTGTGACCGTGTTTGGCAGCTTGACTCCTGAGAGTTTCTAGGACTTCAGTCCTGCCCCACAACGAAGCACATGTGATACATGTGGTCTCACCGTAGGCAAGCGAGTTTGTTCCAAATTGCCTCTGTTCACCCAGCAGAAAATGGGTACTCGGTTGGATAAAGTCATGTGACTATAACCTTCTAGCGCCTAACAGGCAGCTTGGGTTATCCGGGATAATAAGAATCAGATTCTGATTAAGCGCCGCGAGCAATCACTTGGTGGCTGGAGACTGTGCGCTATAGAAGATGACTTATTATTATTATTATTATAAAGACAAAGTGCATGTACATTTGTTTATTACATACATGCATATAAAAGCTTTCCCTGACCTGATTTGATATCACACTGTGTCTGAAGGCCTCTTAAATGCATTGTGACATTGACACTGAGTTTACATGATCATCTCAATTATAGTTTACAAATTAGTGTTAATGGCATCAAAGGTAAATAAGCATTCACCGCTAGACCAAGCAGTCTTGGCCAAGCGGACTTCCTGCTCAGTAAATAAGACAAAATACACAAACCAATCAACAGATTGTTTATTCAAGGTTTATTGGCCAAATGGACTTCCTGCTCAGTCCGGATTATACCGCAATGTTTTTACGTGTAAATACTTTTTCGGGCCGACACTTTGATCCGAAATCCGAAATAATGAGAATCCAAGATACAGAGCTTTTTCATTATGAGAACAAAGAAGGATTACGTCGGGACCGTAAGTTCAGTCCGGTTTATACAGCAAATCGAGTTTGACAGAGTGCACTGTATACAGGTTTTTTAATTCATCACTTACAAAATGATTTGAGTGGGTACGGTTTTATGACGCTTTTAGCACTATTCTAGTCATATCACTGCAGGGGGGACACTAGCAATGGGCTTCACACATTGTACCCATATGGGGAATCAAACCTGGGCCTTCAGCATGATTAGCAGACCCTTTAAACATTTAGGCTACCCCACCGCCCCTCAAATGATTTGAGAGTTGCAACTTACACCGACAAGCGTATTTTCCATTCAACATTTGTATTGCTTATTTTCTTATTATTCCCTTACGAGGAATATGTACATATATAAGCATGTCACTAATAGATAGGCCAGCTACACTAATGGGGGGTTCTTTATTCATATCACATAACATAAATGCATTATAACTGACATGGTAAGGTCGCTGGCTCAACAGAACAAACAGGGTGTGAGTGAGTTTAGTGTTACCTTGCTTTTAGTAATATTCCTGCAATATCACAGCGGGGGACAATAGAAATGGGATTCACACATTGTACCCATGTGGAGAATCGAACCCGGGTATAATACCAAGTTGCATCCATGCCTTCTGTTGTGCAGGTCATATTTTTGTAAATTCTGAGTATTTTGAAAAATTTGCATTTCAAATTCAGGATTTTTACTGTAATTTTCTGCAGATTTGGGGTCAAACAATGGCCTCTGAGCAGGTCTCGATCCCTGGCAGGTGCAACGACAATAAACCAAACATGCACTGGGTGAAACCTCACACTAAGTTTCCAAGCACCAGGAGAATTTAACCAACACCAATGCAGTGAAACAGTAAAAATTGACCCCGTTAATATTTCTGGTTCCATCACCACACCCCTCTGGATCCACCAGTGCTCCGAACTATGCCACAATTTGTAGAACACAAGACCAATTTAGTGTGTAATTCATGACAGCTAGGTCAAGGCACTGCTTACAAGTACCACTAGGCTTGCTGCTTAAATCATCAATTAATTATATGCCTCACCATTTAACAACATAATTGAGCTTCCGGCTATGGAGCAGTCACCTACCTGTCATGACAAAGTAAACATGTCACGTACCAAACAAGCCTCTGACTAAGGGACACAACTCCCTCACAGCTCAATTGAGAAATGTCAGTATGTCACCAGACCATAATTCTAGCAATGATCTAGACAGGCAAGAATTTTGATTATCAGAGTTTTTGTATTATACACTATGTTGGCTGGTTTGGCAAATAGTCAACATCAAATGAATTAAAAGTCTGCATTTACAGTTAACAGGTTGATTCATGTCCATGAAGCATGGTAAAATAACATTTATTTGTGAATGTAACATTTTTCAGTTCTGTGAATGTACTATATTTGCTAATGTACTGAGCTGTGTTTCACTTTTGACATTTTGTTTGTGGGACTGCTTATGAAGTATGTAACTGTAGAACCATAGTTTAGGGGGCGAGTAGACTAATGCTTAGTCTCCGAATATATATAATTTTGATAGTAACAAACAAGATCATTTAAATTGAAAAGGAGCCCCAGGGAGACCAGAGATTCAGAACCTGAACCTGATGAAATCTAGATTTGCTTTATTTAGGGCTTTAGCACTGCAGAGAGGGCTTGGCAGTGGGGAAAATAATGTGGTTCAGGGACTGTGAGACAGACTAGGGGGCGGTAAGGACTGGTTAAATCTTCAATGTGAACACTGGTTTTGCTTACAGGAATACTCTTGTTCGTAACACTTTATATTTAGGATAACACTTTCTCAGTAAAGTACAGATTCAAGCACTCAAATATAAATGGTTTTATTTCATGTTTTTATCAACAACAAAAGGAGGGAAAAAGCCTGCATGTCTTTCTCATGGATCAGTTTACAAAAGCCTCCTCTCGCAGAATCAGAATCTTCCCTCACAAAATAAGGCAAGTTGAGTAATGTACACTCAGGGTCATCCACATTTCTTTACAAATAAAAACAAGCTTTAAGGTATCAGAATAGACACACTGGCCTTTAAAAAGTTAACAATATTACAGGTCAAGCTATGCTCTAAAAAACACAGTCAAAATATGGGAGAATTCGAGTAAGCATTTGAAATCATTGCATCAAGATAAAAGTTTTAACATTAGGTAACAACTACGGATACAATGAATACACTATGAGGTGAATACAATATGTTTTATGAAATCTGTAATTATTCATGAATATTTCATGTGTAATATCAAGGAATTAAAATAACAAACATGTCATGTAATTGAAACATTTCAGTAATTTGTCTAAAGCAAAAGAGCAATACATCATAAACAATGTTGTTTATAGCCTAATGACCCATAAGTGGGCCCTGGCAAAATGACACAAATTATGCTACTGCATGGCTTGAATATATTCCATTTTGCACTAAGAAAACTGTCAAGGAGACATTTTGGGTTGTTTTAGTACATGAATCTATAACAACCTTAGTTCATTTAGTGATGGTTATAGAATTATAACAAGGACCCATTGACTGTTATGGTTAATTTCAAACAGAGACCATACTGTGTAATTCGAGAATGAGGGCTGGGTTTTATCTACACCTAATCAGCATCTGATGTTAAGCTCTAAATCTGCATCACCAGTACCCAAATTTAATTTAAAATTCCTAACTACATATGTCATTCACCAAATGTGTTTCAGCTTTATAAAGCTGACCCATATTTCACTGATAACAGGAACAAGAGGAGGTGTTATTTCGTTATTGTACTAAATATAATAATACAATATAGAGCTTCAGAAAATAAGGAGTTTAAATTATTTGCTTGCCAATGTTGGTTAGTTTGGAATCCTTGTTAAATACCTGGAGTGAGTGAACCAAATATTGGGACTACATCAGTTACAGTGCGTTTGAGTCAGAAACGGACCGATGAATTGCAAATTTTATCATTGTACAAAATTACCAGAAAAATATAAATAGTACACATGTTTATCATTTACTAATACCCAACAGCTTTCTTATATTTCAAAATTTTCTGGACTCCACCAACAAAGTTCTTTAAGAAACTGTCATCATTGAAAACGCAAAAGTTGTTCTCTGTCGCGGCAGAGACCATATCTCATCGTGCACGGGATACACATGCCTGATGAAAAATGAAGTTGAATGCTGACGTGAAACAGTTGATGATTAAAGTGTACGATTTTTTCCGTGCTGAAGCCGAAAGGAGCAAACCATTTTATGCCATAAATAAATTCCGTAAGCGGGCAGCAAAAGCTTTAGGAGTATCAGCAAGGGTACTGACAAAAGTTCTGGAACACAAACATTGTGAGGGTGATGCGAAGCAGGTAGGGGTGGTGTCAAAATCACACAAATCAAAACATTTGGACAACTTTCAAAAGAACCTTGTAAGGCTGTCTATCAACAAGCTCTATTCTGAAAACAAATACATGTCGCTGAAAATTTTAAAAAGCATTTTAAGCAAGAACACAACCTCAGAGCATCAAAGTACACACTCTGGCTACTCTTACACTCTTTCGGGTATCGTTATAAGGAAATTTCGGGGGAGAATAGGTCAGTACTCTGTGAACGCCCTGATATCGTTCGCTCAGGGATATAAAGAAGAAGCGCGAGGAAGGGTTCGAGCCAGTGTACTTGGACAAGACCTGGGTCAATGCCTCGCACACTGCCAGCAGTCAGTGGGTACCCGATGGGGGTGATAAAGGGTCACGTAGAAAGCTGCCTCTAGGGAAAGGAGAGAGACTAATCATTCTCCATGCTGGTTGCTCCAGCAAAGGCTTTCTCCCAGGCTGCGACTTGGTATTCAGGGCAAAGTCCACAGATAACAGAGATTACCATTCCGAGATGAACTGTGCGGTTTTCCTCAATTGGGTTAAGAACAAGTTGGTACCAGCTCTACCAGAGAAGTCTTTTATCATAATGGACAATGCCCCATACCACAGCGTGCAGGACCCCGACAGTAGAGCCCCGACATTGAACAGTCGAAAAGGTGATATGATATCATTGCTCGACAAATTTCAGATCGCACGGCCTTCAAAGGCAACGAAGCCTCAGCTATATGAGATCATAAAAACCCACAAAGGTGAACCTTTCTACAATTTACAAAGTTGACAGTTACATAAAAAGTAAGGGTCACGATATTCTGCGACTTCCACCCTATCACTGTGACCTTAACCCCATTGAAATGATATGGGGTATTGTCAGAGAGATGTTCCCAGATCAAACACAACTTTTAGATTACGTGACGTAGAGGTTTTGGCTAAGGAATCCCTTAACAAAATCACGACTGAAACTTGGCAAAACTGTGTCAACAAGATAGATAACATCATTGAACAAGGTTACTGGTCTCGGGATGGCTTACAACAGGCAACTGTGGCACCACTTGTCATCCCTTTAAGTCGTGACTATGACACTACGACAGACGAGGAACCAACAGGTCTCCCGGAATAGATTTTGAGATGTCCCCCGCCATGACTTGCTGTTCCGTTTCTGCGGTTTTACCCCACCACGACAGATAACAACTTTTGCGTTTTCAATGATGATAGTTTCTTAAAGAACTTTTTTGGTGGAGTCCAGAAAATTTTCAAATATAAGAAAGCTGTTGGGTATTAGTAAATGATAAACATTTGTACTATTTATATTTATGTGGCAATTTTGTACAATGATAAAATTTGCAATTCATCGGTCCGTTTCTGACTCAAACGGACTGTACAAGTGAAGTCCTTTTCATCTACTTGTGCACTTTGGCACAACAAAGAAACGATCTAATGAAAAGATGTATTATTGTTACTGCATTTTGAGACCATTCTGCAATGAATCCAAACTGCAAACAAATGCCAAATGACACACGACAAATGTTATGGATAACCACTTCTTTGAAGAATTTAAAGAATGCTTTTGAAGAATATAAATGCCAAATGGAAACAATTTTCATATTTCAATTTCATGCAGCTAATTATTATTGTAACATTATTTTCAGTGATAGCATTTTTCAATTCAGTAATACATACCGCTTTAGTTATCGTTAGAGTATCCACCCAAATGTTCAATCTGCCATAAAGGCCACAAGCTTATTACATAACATAGGGTCATAAATGGCGCCTTTAATCGAGATTACAGTTCTGCAGTTCTAGTATAAAACGAGGATATTTCTGCAGTTCTAGTATAAAACGAGGATATTTCTGTCTTATTTCGCATGAAGTACAAGCTGAGAAGTAAAAAAGCAACCATTTCCCTTTAAATATTAACATGTATAATGATCATTGTGAACTGTGCATCTTGTCCCTTATTCAGGTGGATAATGATCATAGTGAACTGTGCAGTATATATCTGTGTCCCCTGAAAAAGGGACAAGATGCACATTTCACTATGGTCATTATCCACCTCAAAAAGGGACAAGAACTAGCCCAGAAACATTGTGAAAAATAAATCAAGAAGTTGTTATCCATAACATTTGTCGAGTGTCATTTGGCATTTGTTTGCAGTTTGGATTCATTACAGAATGGTCTCAAAATACAGTAACAATAATACATATCTTTAGTGTATACATGCGCAAGGGAAAGAAGGAGATGTAATTAAGTATGTACAAACAATGACTGAGGTGAGATGATAGAGAAGAATACAATGATAGGGTATGTTTTTACAAGAGATGTACTGCTATCCATAACATTTGTCTTGTATTACTACACCAACTTCTAAATGCCTTTGAAGAATTTAAATGCCAAATGGCAGTGTTCACGAATAGCGTCTGACCCTCTGACAAATCCGGCAGATTCGCCAACAGTCAGACAGAAGTCTACAACCCGCCGACCCCAGTGTCTGACTGTATATTTCACAATGACTTTGACTGATGTTGTTTTATGTGACATGTGACACTTGTTTGCTGTATATAAATCTTATGTTTGTTAATAATTTCAATGTCAATTATAAGAAATATTAAATATGAAATGTGTGTTTAATTTTATTCCATGGGTCCTGTGCATTTTCAGGACCCATGTCAGACAGACATCTGAAACTTACAGGACCCAATGTCCTGTGACTTTGAAACACCATTCGTGAACACTGAAAAGGAAACAATTTTCATATTTCAATTTCATGCAGCTAATTATTATTGTAACATTATTTTCAGTGATAGCATTTTTCAATTCAGTAATACATACCGCTTTAGTTATCGTTAGAGTATCCACCCGAATGTTCAATCTGCCATAAAGGCCACGAGCTTATTACATAACATAGGGTCATAAATGGCGCCTTTAATCGAGATTACAGTTCTCTGCAGTTCTAGTATAAAACGAGGATATTTTTGTCTTATTTCGCATGAAGTACAAGCTGAGAAGTAAATATCAACCATTTCCCTTTAAAATATTAACACGTACCTCGCCACTTTCTGCTTACATCATCGTCGCGTAATGAGTTATAAAACCTGTGACAGACGACAACTTGTTGACAATTCGTGACTTGAGTGACTGTCAAACACCCAGTGTCGATGAGTCAAAATAAAGGTCCTATTCATCTACTGAACAAACTGCCTTACGCGTATACGCGCTATCTATTGTTTTACTTACCAGGTTTTCTAAGTGTAAATATCACCGGTAAATCGTCATTATATCAACCTTGGAAAGAGATATTTCACTCGCCAAAAGAATGAAATTACACTGTCCAAAACACAGGATGACAGTGACACTTCCGGTCCAGATACCAGTTTTCGGTTTCGATTATCTCCCTTTGTCCACACCCTGTAGCGTGCATAGCGCGATTATTTAAAAACACGTTGTGATTTGTTTTGGTAAGTGGCATTTCATTTTTTTTGGCGAGTGAGTGTCATGAGTCTATATGTGTGGCATTACCCGTGAAACAGCGATTAATCAAAAGACACATTGGTTAAGAACGACCATTGGTTAAGAATGAACCAGGAGGTGCAACCCAAGGACTAGACCATCATCTCGTCTCTGAAATGTACATACATAACAGAAAAACGCTTAATACATTATGTTCATAAAATATGATCAAAAGGAGCCAAGAGACTGTCTTCATTTCATGAAACTGTGGTAATCTAGACTTGCCACATATTCTAGACTTACATGGGCTGTATTGAGTAGTTTTGTTCCAGGGTACAAATGACATACTAACCGAAGACGATAACATTGATCTAGAATTAGTGCACATTATACATGGTTCTCTTAGTTCCATTATATGTCTTGTTATGGCAGATAGGATATTGATACATTTCGGAGATTCAGTCATTCCTTATTTTTGTAGTTTTTTGCCATCGCAACAAATGAATAAACATCAGTCAAGAGACGTAGCTACCATTATAATAAAAAGCCAGGGCTTACACATGATTGTTGCTAAAATGGTTGGGCAAGCCCTCAATACTATCTAAATATAAATTTTGCAACCTATCGGGCTTAAACACGAAAAAAACTGGCTTGATACGCGCCTGGGTCTATCAGGCAATAAAACTGTCTATCCTACTTACACACATTGTAATATTGGTTTTAGGGCGGTTAAAACATCCGGTCTCCATTATAACAGGAACCCCGTGTATTGTGAAACATGTCACTTCCTTATCAAAGAGAACCTTATCACCCAGACACCATCCGAGTTATATCCGTATGACGCATCCCTCCTCGTAGTCGTTACACTGTGATTCGAAAATATGTGACATACGAAAAAACCTCTGATCCGATGATACAGGAACTCTAGCAGTTTCACCCATATTATTAAGCCAGAAATTGGTACCAGTGGAGTGTGGTCGCAGGTACTCACTAAAGTGTACAGCAGAAATCTGAAGGATCAGCCGTCTGCCTCGTCTCCCTGGCAACATCTTCTCTGTGGACCATTCATTTCATGTTTAGTACACAGTATTCACGGTATACGTGTTGCAGCACACGGTACGATATACTAGACAAAAACACCGTGATACAATCTATAGATACAGATGTTTGTCATCAGGAAACATATCTTCCTGACAACATTTTCTCTGTGGACCAATCATTTCACGTTTAGTGCTCAATATTCATGGTATACGTGTTGCAGCACGTGACATATACAGGCCTACCATACAAACGGTGAACAAATCATCAAAACTGAACTCATATACACCAAAACAGAACAAAAATCACCAAAACTGCAACAATATCCTCTAAAACCGAAACAATACATCTGTAATGGAAGACTAATCGTTTGAAATGGAAACAAAACTCGCGTATCAGCTACAAGAGCGCGCGAGAACGGTCGCCGAGCGTACAAAACGGCATTCATAGCATCCCAACACGGCAGTCCTAGCATCCCGAAGCGGCATACAAATCGTCAAAGATGGCGGCGAGGGGAGACGAATAGGCTTTGGTACATAATTGTTGTTCGTCACTATGAGTCTAATCTTGAAAATTTGATATATACTAGACAAACACACGGTGATACAATGTCAGGATATCGGTGTATGCCACAGAAGGCAGAATCTTCCTGGCAACATCTCCAATGGATTAAGTAAAGATCTTTTAGATGTTGAACTCCATGGATACCTGCTCATGTTCGACTCTTTGGAAATGAGAAAGCTGATAAATTGGCATAAGCTACATTAGACTTTGATGAATCAGAACAGGAAGAGACAATATTGCCCCCTCCTGCAGAATTATACACCATCAGTAAGATCCATGCTCACAGAAAATGACAACAGAGACTACTTCCTAATATAACTTTTATATGAAGAATATAATATCAAAGTTGACAAAAAACTACGCATTTATGGCATATATTTAATCATTTTAAATAAATTGGGGCATTTTGGCTACCCCTGGGGCAATTTGACCCAAAATCCGAGGCAATTTGACCAAATTTGCTGGGGCATCTTGTAGATGGGGCAATTCGACTGGTCCCCGTTCATGTTTAGTGATCAATATTCATGGAATACGTGGTACGATGTAGTCTACTAACACACACCATCCCAGATCAGCAAGGTTTTTGGTATTCAGTTATGATAAACACCCTGGTTCCAATAGATTTGTTTGTTCTTAACGCCTTTCTCAGCAATATTCCAGCTATGTCACTGGGAACCGATCCACAAAGCGTTCGTAACTTTACGACCTGTCGTAATTATGTAGTTTATCATATGTTTACGAAAGTCGTATAGCGCTACGAACGTTTTGTGGCTCGGCATGGGATCGGACCACATAGGCTAAGCGACGACGGCACCCTGGTGCCCGTGTATAGCGTATACCCTCTGTATGCCCGTGTATAAGCCGACTCGCGTAAACCCTCTGCTGTATACACTCTGCCCGTGTATAAGCCGACTCGCGTAAACCCTCTGCTTACCCGTGTATAAGCCGACTAGTGTAAACCCTCTGCTTGCCCGTGTATAAGCCGACTCGTGTATACACTCTGATTGCCCGTGTATAAGCCGATTCGTGTATACTCTCTGCTTGCCCTTGTATAAGCCGACCTGTGTATATGTTACAGTCAGATTGTGAAATCAGTCATTTCGTGAAATGACTAAAAACTTCAGTCATTTCATGAAATAACTAAGAGAATCAGCCATTCAACTATCCCTACTGCTCGTGCTCTTTCTTCCTGGGTTAACCTTGGCATTCCCTCTGTGTGACTTTATGTGCAGTGATATTGAAGTGTTGGACGGGCCATTTATACTGATTTTTCGCACGAACTTTCCCATGTATCCGACTAAGACATGTGTTTCGTGTTTCTGAGAGTCGGGGCCACAAAATGCGTTTTAGCGATTTGTTTCGTGCATCACGAACATTGGCAATCGTTATCAAGCACATTTACATCAAATGTGATGGAAAAGTCCAAACATATTTATATAGCTAACAGCGAAATGGCTGATCCTCTTAGTCATTTCACGAAATGACTGAAATTTTCAGTCATTTCACGAAATGACTGATTTCACAATCTGACTGTAACATATTCCCTCCGCGTGCCAGTGTCCTTGTCTTCATGCCCTTGCAACCCACATCTTTCCATCCACCCCCACCGCCCCATACACTGTTATCATTAGTGTTGGGAACTGGTTGAAATCTCACAATTGACGATTGCTTCATTACCAACGAGAAATCATCGAAAAAAATTGGTTATCGTCATTTCTCAGATTTTTCTATTCAGGTTGTTATTGCAGATAAGTATAACATGATGCAACTTGCTACTTTAAAGTGATGACTAATATATCATGAACATAAACTACTCAGAGTCTTCAACTATTATTAAGTCATGACTTTTCAGTTATTGAAGTGAGTTTTCCAAGAATTAAACATATTTTCAGGCCCTGACAACTTCGAATATATGTTCCATCGACAAGAGTTTCAAAGACTAAAACAGTATTTCCAAACTCGTTTGTGTTCGATTGTGAGAAAATGTGATCGATTGCTTGGTCGTTTGGTCACTGCGACCAATCTTCGATTATTTCAATTAATCGGAACGCCACTAATTATCATAAGGAAATCTGACTTGGTGTTACAGATTACGTGACATGCAACAAAGTATGAAAGATACATGCATGCGATTACCGTTCCTCATCTGGAGATTACACCCTCAGTCAGTTGCTTAGCGATTCCCATATATGTGGAACTCCATGCCCAGTGTTGAATGTCACCATTCTCCCTCTGGTCAACAGTGGACATAACCATATCTACAAGGTATTTGGATATCCGATGTTTCTGTTGATCATTAAAACTATATTTATCTGGTGGATGTTTCACTAGACTACAGAAATGAAAACAGCATTAAACTTTGACCTGACATTTTTGTCATTTGAATTATGTTTTGATAACCTACACAGAAATCGGTGTCATTTTTCAACTCTGCCCTTTAACATTTGATTCTTTGTTTATGAGAATATTTTCAACGAGTTGGTTGATAATCGTTCTCCGTGTTTACGCACGGCGTGACCCGCTGTTGAAAGTCGCAGATCGTTACTGTTAAAGGTTGCGATATCATTTCATGGATCTGATACAATTGGAATTTTGCACATAAACTTATACATGTATATAGAGAATCTCACCCAAGTGTCTTCTGATATGAAATATATCAACACGAGTTGATTAAAGTTACAAAAAGTATGTTTACTTTAATAAACGAGTGTTGATCATAATTCTTCATCAGTTATCAGTAAAAGAATGTTTTTTTCTGAACACAAAACTACCATTAGGTTTCTTGAGCGGTGATCTCAGTGAGGTCATAGCATTGTGACGTCATCAGCTTTAATGCTACATAGCATTGTGATGTCATCAGCTGTGTTTCTTAGTGATGTCAAAGCATTGTGAGGTCATTTACTGATGATGTAATAGCATTATGGCAGTTCAATTGTTGCAACATCTACAATGTAGATATCGCTTGTAGATATATAGAGAATACTACACGAGGTCTCATTACATACGAATTATACGAAACGAGTGTCCTTCCTATGGTATCTGACCGAGCGAAAGCGAGGTCAGATAACATAGGAAGGTCACGAGTTTCGTATAATTCGTATGTAATGAGACCTCGTGGTATTTTATTTATTACCCACGTCTTACATGCATTAAATTGACAAAATAGCGTATTTTGTTAATATTTTGGTTTCAAACCGAAACCGGTTTCATAAAGAGGTTGCGGAAGAGTTTTGCACTGTAGTACAATATTTGCATGACGTCACTGTAATGACGTCACTGCCTTGGTAACCGACGTCACGATG